TTTTTTTTTTTTTTTTTTTTTTGAGAATCAAGAGTGGAAGTTACCCCTGCATGAGTCGAACTCGAAACTTATAGGTCTCAAGTGAAGAGTGTTACCAACTGAGCTACCATTTCTCGTCATTTTTATTTTTACTAGTAAAATGCACGTGCGATGCACGTAATGACAAATGTATTTTGACACTTAAATTTTGTAAAAGAAATTACTTAATTTATTAAACATATCGTTGCAGGAACTAAATAAAATGTAAAACGAAAAGGCTTGTGATGTAATTTTTTTTTCAAAATAACATAATGATATCCTAATACAAAAATAATAAAATAACATATTACAACTCCAACAAAAATATATAAAACCTTAGTCCTATCAATGGGGAAAAAAAAAACTAAATAACAAGTTGCATTAGCTCTTTTATTTATAAATGCCAGATGATTCTAGCGTGGTTTCCTTTCAGTTAGATTTTGAAGTTTCCATAATAAACATTCATACCGGTTGAAACTCAATATATCAATAGTACTGCAAATTTTTTTGTTAATTCATTTAGCAAAAACGTCTTTGATCAGACTCCGACATTCTCTTTTCAATGTTATTTATTTGGAAGATAGATGAACTATATAATCTATTGTTGCAAATCATTGACTATCTATTGTTCAATGATTTTATAGTTGGTCATCATAATAATTTTCACATTCATTAGGTTTGCAATATTTATTCAGAAATTCTATGGTGCCACATGTGGCACATGTTATGGTGCCACAACATGATGTGGCACATTATGATTGGTGCCACAACATGATGTGATAGTTGTGGCACCAATCATAATGTGCCACATCATGTTGTGGCACCATAATATGGTGCCACATGTGGCACCATAGAATTTCTTATATTTATGTGCCTAATAACTTTTTAGTACTTTTATTGTCCAATTTTTTTGCATCATACATAATGCTAAAAAATGTAAGATAAAGATCATTTCTTGATTCTTCAATAATAATAAAACAAAACAAAACAACACAAAACAATTAAACAATAATAAGAAACATAGCTAAAATATTTGAAAGGAGGAGAATAACAATTATATTATATTATGATTATGATACTCTTACTTATATGTAAACTTTATTATTACGAAGTCATTATTGAAATCTACATTATGTATTACAAAGTTTTTATTTTGTAATTATTTATTTAATATTCAAAATTAATAATATACGATTATTATTAATGACAATCAATTTCTTACGGACAATACAAAGTTTTCACTTTTTAATTATTTATTTAATATTCAAAATTAATAATAAACGATTATAAATAATGAGAATCAATTTCTTACGGAGTCCATATATTTAAACGTTTGCAACAAAAAAAGTAGTAATCTAAAAGACTTTTGCTTTTAGATATTGATATTCACATTTGTCTAAGAAAATTCAGATTTTTTTGTTTTCCCCATTACATTACTGTTATTTTATTTGTTTCTTATTATATGAACTAATAATATTTTATTTGTTAAAAGAATTAGAGCACATTATATGCATTGCATCATTTTTTAACGTATTTTGTATAATTAAGTTGTTATCAAAATATCTTATTTATTAGGCTACAATTAATATAATCACAAAAGATAAATAATATTTAATATTATTTATTTATAATAATAATATATTTGATAAAAATGTAATTTTATACTGTTTATAAGATTAAAAAGTTTAGGATTTTTTTATATTTTTTGATAAAATATTATATTAAGTAACTAACTCATTTGCATATTCATTCAAAATATAATCACTATGGTATTCCCTTTCATGCAGTAATTGAATAATATTTTAACATACAACCCATTTGTTTATCCTTTTAATTTTTATAGTTAATATTAGTAATAGTTGCAAGTTTACATCCATTTTATACCTTTTTTCTTATTAGTATGAATTTCAATTATATGTAAGAAAATACACCACATGTTTATCTTATGTTATTTCATACTTAATAAAATTGATTTAACCTGGATTTATAATTTATTTTATAAGATAATTTCAGGTCATTTATCATTTTAAATTAGTATTGATATATATATATATATTATGGATAGAAATAATTATATTATTTTACAATATATTAGTCAAACCAAACATCAATTGGACAGAAATGAGGTGATATATTGTCTATAAAAAAACGAATAAAAAAATATTAAGTATTACAAATTTAAAAAATTTAATGGTA